AGACTACTGCATTTGTTATTTTTTTTCTTTTAATTATTTGAGCGATAATAGCTTATACATTAAAAGTAAAAATATACTGTCGTGGACTTTTTTGTCGAACTATTTAAGAGATGCATTTCCACTATACATAATATTTATGTAACTTTTACTGTTTTTGCAGTGCAGGGCAAAATGGCTAGCAGTTGGGTGATTTTTTCCATGTTACGTAACACTTATTGTTATATTTTGGGCAATTCACTCAATAGCTACATACTATTACCTACATGTTATTTTTATGTATGAGCCAGATTATTGTTAAGTTTCATTAAAATCCTTTCTGTATTTTTTGAGAGAAAGAGTAACAAAGATCTATACAAACGTAAGATTCAAATTAAATGCGCAAGTGGTCGATATACATCATTAAGGCCCGTATTATAGAAAGATTCTCAGTCATTGATCTAATCTTGAGCATAGTAAGAAAGGGATGTCGCTATATATAGCACATAGCGACATCTCTTTCTAACTGTACTCAAGTAAAGATCAACACTTAGTTGTCATACGGGCCTAAATCTTTGTAAATCCTAAACAGTCATATAAAATGAAAAATGGTGTAAAAAACCTAAACATGATTTTTGATCATCTATACAATGGTACCCCACTCGACATATTTCGTCAACTATTTTTTTTTTACTCTGTCACAATATGGCGTCTAATTGTCCCCATGTTTAATTTTTATTAGTATGATAGTAATAAAAATATATATCATATCTTTAGTAGCACTCGTATATTAAGTCCACGCGTTTGGTCTCTAGTGTGCCACAAAGGAACATACATACATATAGGGTGTAAAAAAAACTATGAAAAAACTAAAACTACGCATTCTGTACACCCAAACAAGTCATATTACAAAGTATTATAAGTGGGAAACATTTGTATTTTGAAGTTAAAAAATTAAAAAATAATCTAATACGCAATGTATAGCGCGGCGCGCTGCTGTGGCGCTACGCAAACAATGTGCCTGTGTGTATGTGTGTGCGTGTGTGTAAGTGCGTCGATAAAAAAGGTTCTAAATAACGTTTTTGTAAAGATCTAGAAAAAAATATTGTGACTTTGATCTTCAATATCTCCATAAACATAAATTTCCCAGGTATGCTCCAGAAGAAAAAAATGATCGTCATGATGTGGAAAATACGTGGCCTTCGACTTCGTTAAAGGTTTTTTACACCCTGTATATAGACTGTTAAACACTAACCCTGTCTGCACGTCGCGCTTCACGCTCTTGCATTGCGCAGTCGAGTAAAAAAAGGAAAGCTTAAAAGAACTGCTGCTGACAATGGCGGCTGATCTGATCGAGAAATATGAAAAAGGAAATCATTGTGAAAACACCAAATTAACATTTGAAACAATGCAAATTTAAAAAAAATGATTTTTCTCACATTTGTTATGCTAGAAAATATAATACAAAACATCACTTCAATTATAACCTCATACTTTAAGAGATATTAAAACAATACAAAAACAATGGGTGAACGAACAATAACATAATCCAATTTTATATTTGTTTAGGGAAAAAGAGAAACATTAACAGAGAATTTATTGTTCTATGCAGAACATTAGAAAATATATAATTCCCATCGGAAACCAACTGCTTGGAAGATGTCTGGCAGCTTAAAATAACATTAGCTTGATATATTTCTTGTGCTTTCAACATAAGAATGTATTTTTCCTTTTATATTTTTAACTGGCTATTGCCTGTGACTGCGTTTGTGTAGAATTATTTTTCCCCAAAGATTTGTTTTGTCTTTAAAGGGTAGCATACAAGCGTATGGTCCGCCTAATGTGCATCCGACGTTTGCGATACAAAAAATATCACTTGTCGTTAGTCCATATTCGGGTGCACCCTAAATATTACTGGAATTCGGGCACCCGAAGCAATATTTACACTGAAATACACTCCGTTCATTTGCACTTAGTCGCTAACCCGAATTGCATTGGCAATCGTATTCGGGCTAACGATCAAGTGTAACTGAGCAATTATACTATATTTTACGTAATTTTTTCTACAATACTTCTAAAAATGAGTGTAATGTCTCCAGAATTCATTTTACGCAATTATGTCCGTTACTTATTTTTAAGTAAATAAATAAATATTTCCAACACTCACACCAATCAGCCTAGCCCCTAAGTAAGCATTGTTGGCTTGTATTATGGGATACTAGGGTAACGGATACAATACATAAACTTGTACATATAAAAGAATGTTTATATAGAAATACGTATTAAACATCCATGTCTGGAGTACAAATGCTCGAATTCATCACACAAACATCTGCCCCAACGGGATTCCAACCCAGGACCCAGGACACACTCGATACATTACCAAACTCATACAATCACATTTACCTCTAACTAATAAAAAAAATTAGTAAAATTGTAACGAGCCTGTATTGTTCGCCATGTGAGTAGTACTTTAAATTCTTGCACACTATAAGCAAATATATCTGAAGAGAAGTTATGTTATTGAAAACAATTCGAAGTAACTGATACCCTTTTCTATAGGGACACGAAAAAAGTATCGATACTTTGTGGTATCGAGTACTTTTCCTTTCGATACCGATACTTTTGTACTCGATACTTTGTATTCGATACTTTTACTAAATGAGTACTTTTTGGCAAGTATCGATACCTTTAATTTGGATAAGCGCCTCATATTGATGGCAACGCCTCGCATCTTGTTAAATCATAGCAAACCTTCTAAAATGTTCCATAGAGTATTTGACAAGTTTCAGGCAACGATCTCACGTTATTGACTAATGTTTATGGAGTCCGTAAAAAGTGGATATTCATCATTCTGTTGTGTATTTCAGTAAAAATAATCAAATCAAAAACTCCATTTTCAAGTTGCCGCGAAAACGTTTCTCTGGACAATATGGCGTCTTACTAGTGTGTGACGTCACACGACTGTTATTAAAACGTCAAACGATACAAAGTAATGCCACTTTGACCGGAAGTTTACTTGCGCGTGACGTCATTTTAGGCTCCGCCAATCCCAAGCGTTTTGGGTTACGTGACAATAGATAAGAAAACTAATATCTTTTTCGTTATTTTGGCACTTTATTTTTAATACTGTCAAATGCCCTATTGCGTTGTTATAAAGTCAGTAACTGACATATTTAAATTCTTTCCAATCTGTGACTGTGTTTATTTTGCGCTTTGTTTTGTTCCATAGTTATTTATTTAGCGACCATATTGTTAGGAACTGTGATTGATTCGCCGTTTATTGTGCTTTTCGCTTGACTGATTTATTCAAATGTAACACTATTATTCTGTCTGTGCTGTGTATACCTATTTGAAACCACCTGAAAAAAAGACGGACTTAACCTCTTCCATAATTATAATCTTGAGTGAAGCATGCCAATGGCAGCCGTTAACTACGTGTCAGATTCAAGTTAACATAAGTGGGTATAATGTTCTTTAATGATTAAAATTCAAGAAAAGTAAGTTTAATTTGAAACAAATCTGAAAAGTTTCATACTTTTAAATTGTTTAAGATTTCGATCTTTTTTATTAACATTTTAATTATGAATGTAATATTAATGAACACTGTTTTAGTGACAGAAATCACTGCTATTTTCTTTTCATTATATAATATAGCAATTAGTGAATTTACATGTCCTTTTTTTGTTTTTGATTATACGTACTATAATAAAATTCGATTGCTTTTCTTTCAATTTTAACACCGGGGGAGGGGGGGGGGGGGTTGCTCATCAGGCCACATAGGCTCCGATAAGGCCCTATGAAATGTACTCGATACTTTGAAGTATCGATACTTTTGTTTCGATACTTTTACGAGTACGATACTTTTTTACCGATACTACTCATGAGTACAGTATCGATACTTTCTATTCGATATCGTGTCCCTACTTTTCTATTGAAATAAATCAAATAATATTATTTTACAGCAAGCCTTACAAGAGCTCCTTTTTGGTGGTAATTAGGTTTCATCTCCACTATAGTTAGATTATAATTATATTTTATTAAGTGCCCACCTATTTTCCTGTCAACAAAATGACAGTCAATTCTTATATATGAATCAATATATTATAAATCGAGCTCGATGGCGCAAGCGGTTTGCGCATTCGGCTGCGATCTTTGAAGTTAAGCAACTTTCGCAGTGATCGGTCTTTGTATGGGTGACCAAAAATTTACTATCTCTAGCTCCTCCGTGCTTCGAAAGGCACGTTAAGCCGTTGGTCCCGGCTGCATCTGCAGTCGTTAGCACCCTTACTGAGTCCGCGTAGTGGCTCATGGCCCAAACTCCCTATACCATCCATAGGGAAGGCCTGTGCCCCAGCAGAGGGAACATTCATAGGCTGATGATGATGATGATGAAGTACTTACCTACTTTTCCTGCCAACAAAACGACAGTCAAATCTTTTAAATAAATCAATATACCTATCGATATATCTTTATATATATAATTCTTCTGTGAGTGTGTATGTCACTGAACTTCTTTTAAACGACTGGACCGATTTTGATGAAATTTTTTGTGTGTGTTCAAGGGGATCTGAGAATGGTTTAGATTCACAATTTTGTCCGCTGGACAATGTTTTTTTAATTTTTTTTTTTTATGGCGGTAAGAAGTTCGCTGGGTCAGCTAGTTTTATATAAAACTCAAAGGTGACTGACTGACACAGTGATCTATCAACGCACAGCCCAAACCACTGGACGGATCGGCCTGAAATTTGGCATGCAGGTAGATGTTATGACGTAGGCATCCGCTAAGAAAGGATTTTGATCAATTCTACCCCCAAGGGGATAAAATAGGGAATGAAAGTTTGTATGAAACTATGTCAATTTTAAACCGATCGGGCTGAAACTTTGCATGCGGGTATAAGAAGAATTATAGATGAATGTCATTGTGTATAATACAAGCCTGAGAACAAAAACTGTAGTCTACACTTCAGCTCTACACCGAAGAGAAGCGAGGGCGGGCCGCTAGTTATAAATAAAAAAGCAACCTGTAACGCAGTATGGTCCCCCGTGCACCGCAGCGTGTGTGGCAAGTCGCACGAGCACTCGGCGGCCGGACGCGCGCTCAGACCCGGACACCGCCATTGCGCGAGCGCACTTTGTGTCAGCACACATAGCACGGCGCCCGCTAACCACATTCTGTAACAAGAGAAATATTCAGTCAGTTTTGAGCAAGGGAGTAGTTGATTTTAGAAACATAAGGGAATATACACGTGTCATTATGGCGTGATTCTCTAAACTTAAAACTAAATTTAAGATTTGTCTCTCCTTTTCATTCTGTAGAGAGAATTAAAAAGGATGCTCTGTTGTCAAAAAGTTTATGTCTAGAGAATCATGCCTGAATCGAAAACAACACAGTCGATGTACATTGCTTTAAACTTTCATGGTAACTAATATTGCAGTTATTAAAGGGATTGCTGTATCTTGTTTTCTGTGTCCCCGATATTTCGGCACTGTTGCAAATGCCATGACCATGTAGTCAAGACTGACAATTCACATCGTGATCATGCTGCTCGCAACATTCCTAAATATCGGGGACTGAAAAAAAACAAGGTAGTAAAATAGTTAATAACTATTATAATATACAGTCGTATTGAGATTTTTGATTTGAAATCGGTTAACAAGATATATGTTAGTTCAGTTTTGACTAAAAAAAAATAGCAGATACTAGAGAACCTTGTAGGTCTGCTTTGTTCAAGAAAGGTTGGGTGTAACGGATTTTTATAGAAGCTGAAGCGCATTATTGTATTTTTTCTTATTTTATTAAAACTAAAGCGCGTTGTTGTATTTTTGTCCATTTGGAAAAGGGTTGTTATAATGTGTTTGGTTTCTGCAGTTCGGTTGCTCTTTAGGAAGAACATGGTCTAGACTGGCTGCAAGTTTCTCTGCTACTAAAAGCTAAACATTACAATTTCAATGAGAAACCACTGGCTTATTTCTTCCGTATAAATTGACTTAAGTGAAAATTTAACTTTAAATGATTAGGGCAACTGTTCCTTGTTCCTTAGCTTCCTCAGATCACAGAAAGAGATTAGAATGGCCTTGGGGGCGGGGCAAGTACGTCACAATTATGTGTGAGCAATGCTCATAAGTCAACCTGAACTTGGTTCTGACTGCGTCGTTGCCCTAAGGCGTGAGCGCTGATTGGTTCGCTTGTTTGATGTAACGACGTTTGATTGGCTATTACAATTATTAGGTGGAAGTGTAGTTGGGGGCGAGCCGGCGACTTCGGTTCCCGTACAAACGGTATATGATCACCCTTCTAACCTATTTCTGTGTTTTGTGGTAGCTTCCTTGCCTCTTGCTCCAAAGGGAATGGGTTTGAACCCCCAATAGCCTAATATGCATAAATTTTATTCCCGACGAAAAAGAATTGTCTTTAAAAGTGGTCAAATTTGTTATTTCTAATTATTAAAAAGTAAGTAATTTATTTATTTGAAACGAAATACTAGCAAAATTTTCTACACTTCTAATAGGTACAAAGTGTGAAAATATTTTGCCTACATAAAAATCACGTGCAATACGACAAAATAAAAGGATAATTTGTACCAAAAAGAAAGTCAAACAAACCATCATTTGTTCCCAAAGAAAGCTGTAACAGCTCAAATATAAATCTAAGGAAAGCGTTATTTGTAGTAAGTGCCATCTTGGAGGGCCATTTCGCTCATAATCCCAGGCACTTGTGTAAGAATTACCACTGCATGTGTGTTGGGGACATAATGGGGTATTTCCACTGAGTGACGACCGGACGACGGAGATGCAATACGGTCCAAGTCATAAGACAATAGCTTTAATTGAAACGGGTTTCAGGATTTTGTATCGATATTTTATAAAGCCCTGATGATTACAATGATGCTTTTGATGAAAAACGCAAACCGATACAGTGAACCCTACTACAGTAAATGCAATAACGCCGTGGTTTTCACCATCATCATTTAGATATTTTTTTTACGTATAGTTTATTCATGTCTTATCTTGTATTGACATGGCATTCCATTAATATGTGTTGCACATACTCCACTTTTCATATGTTTCGCAATAAGGGGAATTGTTTTTGAAGTGAAAACTTCCTTAGAGGCGTTGTACACTTTTATGTAAAGGGTAAAAATTTTTAAACTCGCGTCAGGACACGTGACCTGATCGCTTTAGTCCTAACATCCTGATAAGGACGTCAGAACCTAATCAGGACGACCACAGGGTAAGATACCCTTAACCCATTCCTATAAGAGAATGCTTTTTATCCCGAAAAAATTTTTGGTTCTAAGGAATTCTCCAAAAATTTCAGTAAACGCTTATAAGCTTATAACTTGGACCACACAACTCGTTGAGAACAAGAGGAAATTGCACCCTATTGATAGTAGTAGGTGACGGACGAATGTTGACCCGTTATATATCGGGACACCTTTGTGTCCCTTCTCTGCTACTGACACTCTTCACATCTTACGACATCACTTGGGTACTATGCGTGCATGGATTCATATCTATATCCATATAATAAACTGCAAGAGAACTATGTATAATGTTTACGGTGAGATTATGATTTTTTGGTGTGACGCTTCTACAGCAAAGCCCCCAGCAACATCCAAAAATTAAGCGTCAATAAATTTAAAAACTACCATTAAAAGAATCCTTATTAATAAAGTCTATTATAAAGTGTCTGATTATATTTCAGACAAAAATGCTTGCGTTTAAACTGTTCCAAACGTTCCGGAAGGCTTTTTCTATAATTATAAAGAACATGAAATGATTTTGTATTGACACCGTAACAATCTTCTTCTTCTTCTTGTTGCTACGGGCGTTTCCGCAACTCGACGTCCTTATGGCGCCTGTTTTGCGTGAGGAGGGTGTATGGCCGGAATCACTCCAGCCAGCCCAGCTCCCCCAGGAACGCCCCCAGGGCCTTCACATTGGTGACTGCCTCTTGAAGGTTTCCCGGTGAGCCGAGGTATTTCGCCCGGTATTCGGCCACTCCGTTGCATTCCAGCAGAACGTGAGTAGCTGTTTCTTCTGCCTCCATGCATCCTCTGCATAGGGGGCTGTCCGTGACACCTAAGTTAAAAAGATGTCTGTTAAAATGTGCATGTCCAGTGATAGCACCCGTTACCATGCGCAATGTAGGTTTGCTTAGCTGTAGGAGAGTTTTGGAGAAGGCAGCGTTCACCCGTGGCAAAGCGAGCTTGGTCTGCCTGCACGTCTCCAGGTCGAGCCAGTATTGTTGGTGTAGTTCGGCAGTGTGCTCGCGGATTTTATTGACGAGACAGCTTACCGGTATTGGGACGATTGGTTCAGGACCTGTTGGGGTCGTGTCAGATCCCTTCCGGGCCAGCTCATCCGCAGCGTCGTTTCCGCGTGATCCACTGTGTCCCTTGATCCATTGGATGGTGATGGAATTGCTTGACCCTACCTTGTTTAAGGTTTGGTGGCATTCCTGTAGGAGGCTCGATCTGACTAAGCAGGCATCTAGAGCTTGTAGGACTGATTTACTGTCGGACAGTATTCGTATTTCCTGACCTGTAACCTTTCTTGAAAGGATCGCTGTTGCCGCCAGTGTGATGCCCATACATTCAGCTTGGAACACTGTGTTGTATGGGCTTAAGGGGAACGCGATGTGTATGTTGAGGTCCTCAGAGAAAACACCCGCGCCCGTGCTCGATGAGGTTTTAGAGCCGTCGGTGTAGATCATGAGAGCCTTGTGTGTTACCTTTGGATCGTTGTCATCCAGTAGATGTATTCTATACTTTTTGTCAAATATGAAGGCGGGTATTATTTTGTCACATGCAGCATCTATGAGCGGAGTGTTTACCCATTCCTTCAGTATACCGTTGAGATGCTTTGCTCTTTCGAACCTTACCAGTCCAAACTTTTGTAGTCTCAACGCTGTTTTAGCCGCTTCCTGTCTTATGTAGATATGGAGCGGTGTGATGTTTAAAATAACTTCCAGTGCTGCGGTTGGAGCTGTACTCATGCACCCGGTCACCGCGCTGCATATCTGCCGCTGGAAGCTTTGTAGTTTGTTGACACAAGTGGTCTGGATAGATCTCGGCCACCATATGATGGCGCCATAACTTACCATTGGTCGTATGACTGTGTAATATAACCATAGGAACAGTTTTGGTGCAAGACCCCAGCGCTTCCCTAACATTTGACGACATTGCCAAAGTGTTACGCTGGCTGTCTTGATTTTGTGTTCCACATACACCGTAACAATATATTATTTTTTAATTATTGTTACACAATTATTTAACGATGTGAAGTTTTTTTTCGCCAGTTTCTCTCCACAGCTAAAAAATGTCCTTAACTGGTGGTAGGAAAAAAAAATTTGGACGATTCAAAAGAGTTGAGTTGAATTGACTTTTGATGCTTTTTGGAAGATTGACTCTTACGACCAAAGTCAGAAAGGGTGAATTAATTTTATGCTTCACTAGTGGCCGCCCGCGACTTCCTCCGCGTTTTACTTTTGAACCCTTGTTTTACTCCTTTAGGGGGTGAGTTTTGGAAAATCTTTTGTAAGCACGCCTACATCATAATAGCTATATGTGTGCCAAACTTCATCGCAATCCGTTCAGTGGTTTGAGCTGTACGTAGATAGATCAGTCAATAACAGTTGCCTTTTATATATACAGATTAATACACTTCTTGTCTTTTTCTTTTGTAATGGTATAGAAAATGACAGCATTAACTCTAATAGAATTGAAGAGTTACAGGTACAAACGGTCGTCTTCATCATAGAAATATTTGCTGCTACCGGGATTAGAACGCCGAGGACATCAGCTTAGGTGAAATCGTAAAAATTGATGTAGAGTCAACAAAGTCAAGGCTAGACCAAGATTTTTTTTTCACAAATCACAATCCATTGCACAAAAAATAATAAAGAAGGAAGGTGTTGCTGTAGTATTAAGCTGAGGCAGGGACCTAGTTGGCCTATTTTGTCTTGTTTTATTTATGTTAATATGACTACGTTTAAGGCAAATAAATTTATTTCTATTCTATTCTAAGTATTCCTTTGAATACTTCCTAAAGTCATAAAATTGGGTACACAATAGACAGTCAATTAGTAAAAAAGGTCATATTGTTTTGTAATTTTACAAGAGGCGGGACAACCGATACTCAATCATCTACAAGCAAAGCAATCTTGATAC